ACCTCACACACACCTGCACACAACAGGTAGGAGCTGCAGCTGCAGGGCAGGATGGAGGTTTAACCAGGAGACAAGTCCAGGAAAGTCCTCCCTGCGCTCAAGTTATCTTCTGATCTCACTTCAGTAAAGGGCTGAATTTAATGTGTGCGTCATGTTTTGATCAGCTGCAGTTTAAACCTGAACTACTTTAAATCTAAACAGTTTGATGAATGTGCACTTTGGAAATGTCACCTGGACATTTCTGCATGAATCCTGTGCATCTATGAAACATGTCGATCGGAAAGTAATCACGTTTGTTAAAATAATTTAACTAATGTGATCATCACAAAAAATAAAGACTGGTTATTTTTAGACAATTTTTTAAATCATTTTTAAAGATATCTACTAAAACCTTTTAATTTCCTGGGTTCATTGACTGTTTTAAACAAAAAGGTGCTCGTATGGAACCACAAATAAAAAAACTCATTTTTAAATTAACTATTAGCGCTTCGCTGTTTTATAACTGAACAAAGATGTAACTGAGTAAATGTCTTCAACCACGTGACGGAAGACATTTACTCTTCCTGTCCTGTCTGTCCTACCTGTCCTTCCTGTCTGTCCTTCCTGTCCTGTCTGTCCTTCCTGTCCTGTCTGTCCTTCCTGTCCTTCCTGTCCTGTCTGTCCTTCCTGTCCTGTCTGTCCTACCTGTCCTTCCTGTCCTGTCTGTCCTTCCTGTCCTGTCTGTCCTTCCTGTCCTGTCTGTCTGTCCTTCCTGTTCTGTCTGTCCTCCGTCTCTCTCTGGACTCGGGTCTCGGCGGCAGCGGCCGGAGCACGGAGGTCCAGGCGTCTCTTTCTTCTTTGTTTTAATTATAAACGTTATTTGAAGATTGTTCATATTAAGATACTTTGTATTACAATTTAAATTCTTCACAATTTACAAAAATTCATTTTAAGCCAACAACAACTAAGACACTTGATAAACGAACGATATAAAAAACTACTGAACAAACTATAAACACAACACTTGTGTTTTCACCCTCGTTTCTCGTGAGCTGGTCTCAAAGATCTGAGTTCAGCCTGAAGCTCCGATCAATAATCTGCTCAGCCTGAAGCTCCGAT